AAAAAAAAATTTCATGAAAAATAATTAAGTATATATTTTAAATACACATTGTAGATAAAGGTTTACCGAAGCATCAACATAGCATAAGCACAGCAACTTACTGAATCTTACTCTCTGCCCAGTGCAAGGCTGAGACATGTACTCTGATACTCCATTTGATATCACAACAGTTCTCTCAGTAGATACAATTACTATCCCCCATGTACCAGCAAAGGCACAAAGGGCTAAGTTAAAAATTTGCCCAAAGTCACACAGCTAATAATAGATATAATGGTATCCAAAGAAATCAACACTAAATCAAATTTTGGGGGGAAAAAAACTGATTTTACCAGTAACTACGTATAAATACAGAGAGTAGGATAGAACAGTTACATGGACCCAAGAATAAAAGTAAAGGCATACACTGATGAAGACTAGCCAGTTTATGGAAAAACATGACATGTATAGTGATGGCAACATAAAATACTTTTCTTGTATAAGTTACTATACGCTTTGTTTGACTGGGTAATTTCACATCGAAGAATGTATCCTATGGGAATCCATCCTACGCCTTGCTCCCAGACATGTCTCAAGAAGTTGTTCTCAAAGTTGTAACTATGAAAACATGATTCAAGAAAATGCTTTCATTTTCCTAAACAGGAGTCCTCAAGGTTTATGAGAAATGTGCACTTGGTGAAGACTTTAAGGAAACACATAAATTAATTAAAAAATAACAAATGGGGGACGCCTGGGTGGCTCTGTTGGTTAAGCCGCTGCCTTCGGCTCAGGTCATGATCCCAGGGTCCTGGGATCGAGTCCCACATCGGGCTCCTTGCTCAGTGGGGAGTCTGCTTCTTTCTCTGCCTCTGCCTGCTTGTGTTCTCCCGTGCGCGTGCTCGCTCGCGCTCTCTCTCTCTCTCTCTGACAAATAAATGAATAAATAAAATCTTTAAATAAAAAAAATTTAAAAAATAACAAATGGGAAAAGGTCAAGACATTAATGAACCAATAGGAAACTAGAAACAGACCCTAATTTTAAAAGTCTATACTTGTGTATGTGACAGAAGGTGGATAGATAGGAAGTCTTAGAATATGGCTTGTGAATCTTGCTTTGGGATTTTGTCCTTTTGAATTCCTTCAGTTGTATATGGTCGTGATTTGGAGTATAATGTGGTCAAAATAAGATGTGCCCCAATAGTAATACTCCCTTGACTATGGTAGAAGGCCTGCCTGTTTTTACAAATTAATGTTTCCTGCAATGTCTTATCAGCCCAGAATTCTCTTGACAGAACACAGCCAAATAGGGAGTGAATATCTGGGTCCAACTAGTGAACTTTTCCAGCTCTATCTTCCTGGACTAAATTGTTACATTTGTAAAATGGAAACCATCAGAGATACATGGTCCAATGGGATGAATTCTATCCTGGAATTTGAAAGGGTCAGGATCTGCTCACAGCTCTGCCATCGATCAGCCATGCCACCTCTCTTAGCCTTTGTTTACTTATCCATAAAATAAAGTCACCCAAAAGAGGTTAAAACTAAAAGGGACGTGGGAGATTAGGGTATGTCAACTTTTAAAATGAAGTGCATATCACACCCCCAAGGGGATTTCACATAGTGACACTTTCTGGAAAAAAATCTCATGTAGTAACATTTTCTTATTGTGAAAAGAAGTATAATAATTCTGCTTTTTCAAAATGTCTTTTAGTCTTTATCATCCTGATATCTGTCTGCATTCCCAGTCCCAACTCCCACCCTCAGGCAGTTGAGAACCGTTGATCGAGGTTGTCACAATGATTCCAGCCACCCTCGTGGCTGACTATAGTTGCCCAGTGTTCCATTCTGTAAGCCTTTGCTGCCTTCAACTTCCTAAGGCTTCATGCATCTTTCCTCTCCCCTTTTTCCTGCCCTAAACAAGTTAAGTACAACTTCACTGACGTGGATTTCTTATTGTGCTTTCAACCACCTTCCTAGTCTCACTTCAGTCCTTACGTGTGAGTATCCCCGGGAGGCAGCCCCTCCCTCCTCCACCTGTCACAGTTCAACCCATCTTCCTTGACTCATCTCACCCACCTTCCCTGACCTCAAAATGGGTATGCTACCTCCACTCTTCGAATGCCCATGGGATTTTATTTATACTTAGCTATGTATTTGTCATACTTAAGTAAGTTAGAAGGTGTTTGAGGATGGTGATTATATCTTACACCCAAAGATCTTAAGAAAGCAGTGTTTTCAAACTTTTGGCTGTGATCCACACCAAGAAGTATGTTTACATTGTGACCTACTGTATGCGTGTGTGTAGGATTATTTATAATTGAAACAAAGGTTTCAAGACAGAGCTCATATTCTTATTGTCTTCAGTGATGCCCTCTGATATTTTCTTTCTTTTCTGTTCTATTAATTTCTGGTCTAAATTGATTTTATGACCCTTAGTCATAGTTGTAAACACCACCATAATATAGCACATTGCCCATAGTAGGTGTGCTACTATATGTGTTTCATTAAATTGGCCTTTTTGATA